TGCTGAGGCCAGCTGGCCTCGCTCTGGTCAACAGCTCTCTGTTTAGGGTTCCTCACTTTCTCTCTCTGGGCCACTTTGCCCCTCCTTCATAATCAGTTAGACAGAAGGAAACAGAAGGCTTCAACCACACACACACCTTCTGCAAAATGCGTGTGGTAAAATGGGATAAATACAATAAGTATTTTCAGATAGGAAAAAATAAAGAGATGTAGGTACAAGTGAGTAATATATAGGAGGTAGTATGGGATTAGAAAGAGAAGCACTTCAGGGGTCGAACACAGTGCAGCCGACTGAATCAGAATCAGGTTTATTGCCAAGTAGGTTTTCACATACAAGGAATTTGTTTTTGTTTTGGTATTTGGTATATTGATGCATAACAATAAACAAAGAACAAGAAAAAATGTAAATTAAGGTTAAAACAAGTACTGCAAGTCAAGAAGCATAAATAAAAACCTTGACAATAATATACAAAAAAATATTATAAAGACAAAAATAGATCATATGCACAATATGACTGTTACTTTAAATGGAAGCTGTACAGTTGTGCAGGAATGTGCAGAATAGGATGATTCACACACACACCCACACACCCACCCACACACAAAGACCAGTCATTCTGTCTCTAAACAAATAAAACAAGGTAGTTCCCCACACCAAAACCCTCCAAGCTATTTGTTTACAACCAGTAATGTGAGTAAAGATTTATATGTTTATAAAAAGGACCATGCTGGCTAAAAAGGCGCCTTAAAGATTTTGTTACAAGGTTAAGGGTCATCCTTTCGTGTTCAGTTGTTTTTTTATTAGCTTCAGTGCTGTAGAGCAAGATGTTTTCACACTCGGTAACAATGCAACTTTATATACAGAAAGTTTGTACTTTAGAGAACACGGGAAGAAACAGATTGAGACATCTTGTCAGCAAAGATATGTTTGACATGCAACGTCAGGCAGGTGGATTGAGGTGTGTGTTGCAAAACATGGTAAAAACCTAACGTTTATTAGATTAACGTGTTTGTAGTTTTTATATTATATATCTATACGTCTATATGTCTGTTTGTGTGTATATATCTTACAGCAATGACTGCAACTATGAGCATAACTGCATTACAACATAACAGAGAACAGTGTTTACATGGGCTCCAACTTTCTTACATTAATGCCTTAATTGCTTCATAATTAGAGTATTGGTTTGAATATGTAGTCTGTACACACACAGAGACAGACACACACACACATACTTTAGCCCCCTGCTCTGGGTAATCATCACAGCTGCACGGAGGGAGGAAGAGAGGGAAGGAGAAACAGATGAATGGATGGATAGGAAGAGGGGAGATCTAGTATCAGGTTACACATCAGTCAAACACTGAACTTCAAAGACCTGACCACATTATAAAACTCACATTACTTTCTCAGTAAATCTCATTTACTCAGACGAGACAGTCAACACTGTCTTTCCGGTTTCTGGCAACAAGTTACGGTGAATTTCTTTATAAAACCTTGTAATCTGTTATTCTTTTCTTACAATCTAATTCCTGTCACAATGAGCAGAATAAAAGCATTTTAAACCAGTGACCTACATCCCAGCTGGCAACACATTTAACTACACATATTTATATATTTTAAGGTCACAAAGTAGGATGTAACATTTTAATTTTAAAAGTAACTTTCCTCTAAAAAGGTTTTGTGAAACAATAAATCATAGAACCAATGTCCCAAAAACCAAATCCACTCACTCCTACTCTGTTTTTACACACAAACACAAACATACGTTTCTATGCGGACACATAAATATGAATAAGTTCCAGCGAAAACACATGCGGGCAGTAAGCTAAAACCACATAAATAACAAGGTACAAACCCAAAGCCAAGACTTGCTGCCAAACTTTTACTTTCTCTGTCCCCACTTGTCTTCCTCTTTGCCTCTGTCATTCTTTCTCTTTCACTGAAATCCTGCCCTTCCCTCTTCATCAGACCAGGTGTGTAGAAAAAAAACCTTAACTCAACCTAAACAAACCAACCATAACTCAATAAATGATCTACATTTTAAAAAAAAAGATGGCTGACAGTTGTAACTGTTATCATTCTCGCACTGATTGATGGAGTCCTCTTTACAAGAGCAAAACATGCTTTTAAAGATTTGGTAAACCTGTGATTAGGCCAGGGTAATAAAAAATGTATTTTGAACATCAGAAAAGTTGTGAAGATTGTTTTCAACTTGATGTGAAGGGAAAAAAAGGGACGGGGCTTTTAGAAAAGCTTGCCTTGGGGAGCGTATATGTTCTTACAATGTGCTGTATTGTGACTAACTCTTCTGACAGGGCTGCAGCTGGCTTCTGAGAGGATTCTTGGGGGAGTGTGTGAGGGGTGTGAGGTGAGAGAGTGTGTGGACGTATGTGTGTGTGTGTGTGTGTGTGTGTGTGTTTTGTAAACCAGACATCCCCCTACCCCCCTTTACCCCCAGCACTTCTGCTGGGAGGAATGTGTGGTCCGCCTCCTACGCTGGAGACTGCTGTGCCAACATTCCTGACTGAACAGAAAAGGAGAAAGAGGGAGAGAAAAAAAAAGGGGACGGAGGGACAAAGAGAAAGAGATTAAAATGTGAGACTAGGGTGATGTGGAGATCTGCTCTTGATAAAAAGAGTAGGGGTGACACTATGTACAGGGATTGTCAGAGAAAGAGAGGGGGCTTGAGAAAAAGAGGCGACCATTGTTCCCTAAATTGCCCCTAAGGCCCCATCATAACCCCTTCAACCCCATAACCCCCATACACACACACACACACACACACACACACACCCTAAAACTCGCAGGGGTTTCCTGGAATGCCATCCCTTTACCAGGAGCAGATCCTGGCTTCTGAAAAATAAACCCGCAGACACACACACACTCTAGTTTCTCGCTGTGCCACACACACGGTGAGTGAATCAGGTCGACCGCTGATACATGATGAGTCAATTTTTTTCCGATGTCTTGCACTGCCTCTCAAAAAATCCACAATTCAACAGAATAAATGGTTCACACACACAAATACACACACTCTTAAAACTAACTCTAGCGTCAAAACGTCAAGCTGTGACCTGCCATCGACCTTTCCCACATCCAGCGAAGCAGGAGCCGCAAATTCACCAGCTCAGTGCGAGGCAGACCTGCAGGGTGTGTGAGTGTGAGAAGGAATCTGAGATGGTAGACTGTCCACTACACACTGACCCCTGGATGCCCTTTTCACAGCTAGCATGCTCATTCACACTCTATCACACACACACACACACATAAACATACAAACACAGGGATGGGAATCAAGAACCAGATCCAGTTGAAAACTGGTTCCAAATTGTCCGATCCATCGGAATGGTACGCCTCCAAGCTTATCAGTTCTGTTTATTGATGCAGGCATGTTTTTCTGACAGTTGTGTGTTTGCAGAACAATGACATCAAAGCCATGCGTCTATGCTGCTGGAAACTTGCAACAAGGAGCGTGGCTTCATTTCACAAAGAAAGATGACAACAGTGCTTGTTGTAATCTCTGTAAAGTGATCACTTCAAGTAAACACCAGCGATATCAAACATCTTTCTGTGCAACGTGGGCTTTAATTTCAGGAATGCCGTGTATTTGACATTCTACGCAAACCGAACTGTTACCAATAAATATCTAATGTAATAATAATAATAACTAGAAAATTCTGACTCTGGCCCGTGACTCTGGCCCATACATTATTGTCACTGCCGAGTAGTTTACAGTATA